TGTTGAAAGCCTTTAACAACCAATCTTGCTTTGTAGCGTTTGCTCCCATCGTGCTCTTCTTTGATCCTGTAAATCCACTTGTTGTGGAGCGCTTTCTTACCTGGTGGTAATTCAACTAATTCCAAAGTCTGATTTGACATAAGTGAGTCCATCTCATCTTTCATGGAAGACTCCCACTTGACTGAATCCTCCACCTGCATTGCTTTATCATAATACTCTTGTTCACCATTGTCAGTTAGCAACAAGTAGTGCAAAGAAGGCGAATAACGTTGGGTTGGTTCAGGGATTCTGGAGGAACGTCTCAGTTCTGGTGTGCCTGGTTCTTCTTGAACTGCTTCAGGACTGATTTGAACATCATTTCCAGAAATCTCCTCGAACTCAGCAAATTCCTTTGTTTCAGCTTCGGTATTGGAGCTACTTGATTCTATGGTTGTCCTGTCTTTGTACATCACATTCTCATTGAAAATGACATCTCTACTTTTGATGATCTTCCGATTTTCATAGTCCCAAAATCGGTAACCGAACTCATCACCACCATAACCAATAAAGACACATTTGTTGGACTTGGCATCAAGTTTACTTCTTTCAGCAGAATCTATGTATACATAAGAAATACAACCAAACACTCTTAAGTGTGAAAGGTTTATTTCTTTCTTGCTCCAAACTTCCTCTGGTATTATGTCATCCAAAGGAACTGAGGGCCCCACAGTTGATCAGGTAAGCTGCAGTGTTAATAGCTTTAGCCCATAGAAATTTGGGTAATTCGACATGTATCCTCAGGCTTCTTGCACGTTCATTCAGAGTTCTGTTCATGCGCTCTGCTACGCCATTCTGCTGCAGTGTCGTGGGAACTATTGTCTCCATCTTGATCCCATTATTTGCGCAGAAATCTATGAATCTATGATTTATGTACTCCCTTCCATTGTCAGACCTCAACCGTTTGACTTTCAGACCAGTCTCATTTTCTACCATGTCCTTCCATTTTCTGAAGGTATCAAAGACTTCTGATTTCTTCTTAAGAAAATAAATCCACACCTTCCTTGTAGAATAATCGATGAAGGTGACATAATATAATGAGCCTGCAAGAGATGGAACTGGAGATGGTCCCCATACATCAGTATGAACCAACTCTAACTTTTCAGCCTTGGGTGTCTTACCAATCTTTGCAAAGCTGACTTTCTTTTGTTTTCCAAAGATGCAATCCTCTCATAGTCCGACATCTACATTATTTAGATCTGGCAGCTTCTCTTTTGAAAAAAGCATCTTCATCCCTTTCTCGCTCATATGGCCAAGCCTTTGGTGCCATAGGTTTGATTTTCCATCAGCATCTGCGGCTGCAATGATATTCTCTAAATTTGAGGTTACATAGAGAGTACCAGTCTTCTTACCACGAGCAATAACGAGTGCTCATTTGGTAATCTTTCATTCACAGCCTGAAAAGGTTGTGCTATATCCTTCTCCATCAAGCTGTCCTACAGAAATCAAATTTCTTTTGAGGCCAGGATTATGTCTCACTCCTTTCAGCGTCCAGGTGGTCTGGTTTGGCAACTTTAATCGGATGTCTCCTTTTCCGACGATCTTCAAGGTTTCATCATCAGCTAGATGAACATTCCCAAAATCACCATTGGCATAGTTCTCCATGATTTCTCAGCATAGGGTGGAGTGGAAAGATGCCCCTGAATCCAAGATCCATGATTCAATCGGACTGTTAACACTTAGAATCATGGCATCACCTGTCTCCTCTGTCACGTTTGCAGATTCTTGTGCGCCGGTATTTTTTTTTGTGCTCGATAATCTCTTTTAAAGTGACCCTTCTTGCCGCAGTTATAACAGGTAAAATCTTTCTTTCCCGTTCTTGATTTTCCCGTTCTGGATTTGGATCTTCCACGATTTGAATTTCTTTCTGAAGTTCTCCCTCTGGACTCCGTGTGCAAGGCTGAGGAGGTTGATGCTTCACTCGATTCTCTCCGTCGAATTTCTTCACTCAATACCAAATCTCGTACATCGTTGAATTTTAATTTGTTGTTTTCCGACGAGCTACTGACTGTTGTAACAGTAGCATTCCAACTGTCTGGAAGAGATGATAAGAGAATTAAAGCTCGAACTTCATCATCGAATTCAATTTATACTGAACTCAAATGGGTTGTGATTGTGTTGATTTCATTTAGGTGTTGAGCCACCGATGCCCCTTCCGCCATCCACAAATTGAATAATCGCCTCATCAAATGAACTTTGTTTGAGGCCGATGGCTTCTCGTATATACTGGAGAGAGCCGCCATAAGACCTGTCGTGGTATTTTCCTTTGCTATGTTGAAAGCAACATTGCGGGATAACGTCAGTCGGATAACTCTGAGGGCTTGTCTGTCGAGAAGAGCCCAGTCTTCATTCTTCATGCCCTCTGGTTGCTTTCCTGAGAGAGGTTGATATAGATTTTTATGGTACAGAAAATCTTCAATCTGCATCTTCCAAAAGCAAAGTCTGCACCATCGAACTTTTCAATTTTCACCTTCCATTCGTCTGCAACCATCGCTCCCACTAGAATCTAGCTTCGTTTGGATCGTTTCTGACAATTCTTGTGAACCATCGTGTATTAAAACACCTCCGTCGACAAATTCGTATCGCCGACAAAATTTTACTATTCACAAAATTCACTATTCACGTGAATAGTAATGAATAGTAACCTCGAAAAAATTGACAAAATTTACAACCAAAAGCTCTGATACCAGTTGCTGGGAAATAAACCGAGTAACGAGTAATTTCCCTATAACCAGATTAGTGAGAATGTGAAATAAAAACGAAAAAATAATACTCGAAATTGATAACGGAGTTCATCCAATTTTGTCTACGTCTCTGAACTGCTGCAGATCTTTTACTAAAGAGAAAATTTACAGGTGTTTACAAAACACACTTGAGAGAGAACTAGAAGATTTTGGGATGATTTAGAAGCTAAATGAGCTAGGATATTTATAGCTGAAGCTTGGGGACTAATCTTGTAAATACCCTAAAGTGTGCAGTAGCTAAATGTGTAATTAACCCTATTACAATTTAATTAAAAAAATTGGGCAGTCCCTTTTTTCAAGCAGCCGACTGCTGCCATTTTCTTTGACCAACAAAATGAAGCCTCATACTTTCGAAGGCTTGCACCAAAAGGAAAAAAAATTAATGTTCTAGTTCATGACCTTGATCAAAAAAGGGGATCGAGGCAGTTGCTTCCGTATATCCTTAACTGGATGTGTACGCCTTGGTGGTGGTGGTGGTAGGAACGGAACTCTAACTTGACAGATGTGTACTTGACTGAGGAACTGGTCCACCTTTAGAAAAAAACAGAACCAACTGATTTACTCAATGCACTCACTGATGATGACAATATGGCTGGAACAGGGTCCTTGCTGGAACCAGACTGAAGTTCTCGTTGTAAGTCTGAGGATGATGGAGCTAGAGTACCAATTGTAGATCCAACAGGATAGGGTGTAACAGCCATATCGGTAAGGGAAGCGACAGACGGACTGTAACTTAGTGTCCCCATAGGATGATCAAATTTGCAAGCAGTTCCAAACTTGCACACTCCACGTTGCAAATAATGAATGCAAGGTGCCCCTGATGACATTACGAAAAACACAAATGAATATACAGTAGAAACTCTTTAAATTAATACTCGGTAAATTAATAAACTCTCTAAAATAATAAATTTGTTCGGTCTCGACTTGGGCCAATGTAAAAAATTGAAAAACTCGATAAAATAATAAAATAATAATTTTTCGTGAGATCCCTTTATAATTTTCGGTCCCAAGAAAATCATAAATTAATAATTCATAGAAACTGAAAAAAATATATTACACTCTATTGAAATATGATTCAATAGTTGTCTGTTTTCCTTTAAAGTTCAAGTCTATTTGGAGCTCATTATTAATTTAACTCATTTCTTGCAACGTAATTCTAAGAGGCATAGACTAATTTGTCTTTTTGTTTGGTATGTACAGTATAATTACTTAAAAACTCTTTAAATTAATAATTATTAATTTATCGATAAATTAATAACTCTCTAAATTAATAAATTTCTCCGGTCATGAAATTATTAATTTATAGAGTTTTAACTGTATGACCAAGACAACAGGTTATAATTCTCCATATGTCGTAAAAGACTACATTTCCACCGATATAAAACCGAAGTTCATCGGTTCAACCATACTTATCTTGTTCATTCATGCTCTTGAAAATCGTTTGAGGAGAATATAAAAGAGTGCATATGAAAAAATAGATTGTACCATAAATTTATGTTGCATCGATGCTTGCTTGGAAGGGATGGTCAAAATTAAGTATTACACTGTTTTCAGTATCTTTTGCCGACGAAAGTTTCCTATGCCACATTTTTAGCATAATGACTAACTTTTGAACATCCTGAATTCCAAGGCAGAAATTGCTTGAAAAACTTAAAGCATATAGTTTAGATGTTTTCTAGAAATTTTACTAATATCCATCCTCATCCAAATTACTAAGTAAAACAACACATCATCATGCCATTAAATTTAGCACGGTTACCATCATCCCTCATCCAAAATACGAAATCGACACCTATAAATTACCTAAAAAATCCAAATCTAGCTTCGAAGACCCTTGATGTTTACAGAGATGGTGTATTCTACAAATCCTATAAAAACGAATCAGAAATGAACCACATAAGTGTATGAAAGATCACATCATGGAGATAAGATGTTACATACTTTCTTGGTTAAATGGCACATAATAAGTTAAGAAGAAAAGCACTAACCCGACAATTATAACGGAAAGAGATACTAGTGTTCGTATGACCTATATGCCTTTTCACCTTTACTTACTAGGGCTCCAATTTCCCTAAAGAAAAAGAAAGGTCCGACAATGGGGAAAACTCTTAAACGTTTTACTAGGTCTAGTTGCAAGTTGGAACACACAAAGGAACCCTAATGCGAAGTAAATACAGAAACATAATCAGTTATTGCAAAAGCAACTGAACAAGGATAACTCTTATCCACGCTGACAGGTGCAAAGTATTAAACATGATTAAAAATTTGAAAGCTCAGTATTGTATAAAGCATCAAATTTATATGGCGTTTTACGAATTCTTACTGGACAAAGAGGAAGACCAAGAGGGCTGAGGACGACATCGATTTTTAGTGCAAGCACTTCTGGCAGATGATGATATTTACAGGAGGATCCATATTTACAATCACCTGTTTTCATATAATACTGACATTCTGGTTGGCCAGGTATCTCGGGAAACGACTGTTCCTTCTGTATACTACTCGAAGGCCCAGCACTAGGTGGTACAGGTTGATAAGATCGAGTATAGGCAGGGACTGAAGGAGATAACGGTGTTACTCCAAAAATTGAGCTTGATCCAGCAGTGGCTCGAGTACCGGGACTGACAGGTGGCTGCTCCAGGTGCATTAACAATCTCAATGATAAAATCTAATGAAAATTTAAATTACTCACAGCTGAGAAAATCTGAAAAAAAATTAATTCACCTACCGTATAGGGATTCCAACTCGCAACAGAAACCATGCCTGGTAAAAGCAGCAAAGGACCGTAAGGGCCCTGCACATACGAGCCCGGCATCAGTGGAGGCCTCGCCATTACAACTCCATACTGTTGAGAGGAAGGACCAGATGGTGACTGCACCGTGGGATATAATATAGGTGCGGGGAATGGAGTTGGTATAGGTGCAACTTGAGGAGCTGGAGATGGTGCAGGAACCTCTATAGTGGGTGGTGCGAGATGATGGAATTTACATGTTGCACCGAATTTACACTGCCCCGTCTTCACAAAGTAAGAACACTCCTTTTCACCCTGGATTAAAGTGCGGTTCAATTATTAAGCAAACTCAATAATAAACAAGCAAAAGATCTTAATGTCATGTGATACAAACCGGACGTAGTGGATATCCAAAATAATTTAGTGGTATGGGGTTAATAAAACCCCCTCCCTGCTTCGGGTGATGGTATTTACAGGAAGAACCGAATTTGCAGGTCCCCTTCCTCATATAATACTGCAAAATCAATGGAAACCATAACCAACACAACTAAGTAACTTACTATTTAGCATTTTTGCTAAATTGTCAAACCAAATACAATCTATTCACTAAAAAGCAAGACCAAACTATATCCTTCAACACTTCAAATGAAATGACATAAAGTAACACTTACCTACAAAGATTTTAGCAACGAAAATTGTTGAAATCGTAGCACATCGATACATACCTCGAATTTATCAAATATTTAAGACACAATCTAATTCAAAAGTACCTGACAAACCGACTGGCCCACTCTTTCTGGATACTCCCCTGCATTACCTCTTCCAGGCCCCATAACCTAAAGCCAATCACCATCATCAATCATCATCATCATCATCATCATCATCATCATCATCATCATCAAATGGCCTTTCTTTCGACAATCAAAACGAATGAGAATCAGATGTTTCTAGGATTACCAATTTACACTAGATCTTAATGCATTAAACAAAAACTTCCCATTTTCACCCAACAATTCAAAACCCCATCACTCCAAAGACCATGATCAAACAAAAAAACGAAAACACTTCGAAAAATCTTCGAACCGGATTGAAAACAATGAACAATTCAATCAAATTATCAACTATTTACCGATGTGCGGTCACGGGGATGATTGAACCGACACCTAGAGCCGTATCCACAAAACCCAGTCCTCAAATAGTAAATACAATCAGCTTCATTGAGTCTCTCCGGGTAAGATTCCGGCTCATCTCCTAATCCCAACCGCCAAACCGGTTCTGCATTTCAAACAAAAACCTCGTATTACATACCGCATCACGCAAAAAGAAGAAGAAACAAAAAAAAAATTAAAAAAAGGGTAATCCTTTACCTTCGAGTCCCGTTTCGGGTCCCGGAGCTGTCCATTCGGGTTGCGAATCGGATTCTGGGTCCCGCTCCATTCAACTTACGTACAAACAACTTCCCAAAATAGCCCAAATTTCAATCCGATAAAATGGGTGTTTACGTCTTCGTTTTCTTCTAGATAGAAAAGAAGAAGAAGAAATAAACAACGAAAAATAATCAGTGATAAAAAATCTCTTTTTTCTTACACTCAACCGAGAAAACACACTGTTCTGTCTGTTGTTTTCTTTGGCTTTTCTTTGGTTTTTCTCTTCTTTTTTTTGTTCTTAATTTTCTTTTCACTTTCTCTCTTTTTCTGCATCAGTTCCTCAAAGTCATTTGCCGTTTGTTTGATCGTCTCTCTCCACTTTTTTTCTTTATGGTTTGTTTATATACGCGCATAGAGGGAAAGAATAATTACCAAACATTAAACAAAATTAAATTATGTTAATAATTCGGGTAAACTTTCTATCTAGTCACTGAATAATACGTTCAATTTCAATTTAGTGGTTAAATAATAACTTTTATCAATTAAGTCATTACACTTGATTTTTATGTCAATCAAATCACCTGTGTTAAATTAATTTTCATCACTGTAAGGATGATGTTTATCGTTCTTAATTATGATAATATTTAATCAATTTATTCTTACTTTTAAATATTTAAATAAATTTAGTCTTATATATTTATAAATTTTATCATTCTTATCCTTAAACACATCACCATTTTCATTATTTGAAATATAGAATACTTTTTTTAAAACATAAATTTAATTTGATTTAACTGGAATAATTATGATATTTAAACTTGTATTTCATAAATCGTCCAAAGTTCAATTTAATTTTGTTTCGGTTTGTTTTTCGTTAAACTTTAGGTTACAGTCCATCTATTATGATGAAATTTAAGGTTTTTAATCTCCTTAATTTGACATAACAGGTCCCTCTATTTTATAATATTACCACTAATTGTTATCATTAAAAGGACAACTTCGATCTAAGAGAAAACAACTTTAAACATTGTTATATTTAAATTTATTAAAAGTTTAACATGAATAATTGGATATTCACATTTTCCTGATTGTGTAATTTGAATAACAATATAAAGATCACATAACAATTTACCAATCTGAATCAAGTTGTGTTAGATTAAACGAATTGAATCTCAAATTGCTGCATACTAGAGGGACTGAAAACAAAATTAAACCTTAATGAAATTATTATAAGTGTTTCTTATATGGATGAAATAAGCTCAATAAAATATATTTGGTTTATTTTATTTTTAAAATCAGTAAAGTAAAAGAAAAAAAATATTGATTTTGGCAGTTTTGTTGTAGGCAGTAGGCACTGCTCTATTAAATTTCAATGATATAATTATAAATGAATTAATAAAAAGGAAAAGTGGGGCATACATATTTCGTGAAGTGTGAGCTTAGGAAAATGGGGTTTGACAATGACACGTACGAGGTAACACTTTTTGGAATCACCAACCATTGTGTAACACGTGTTCTGCAGAATACCCTCTCTTGCATAAGCAGTTTAACTTCGCACCTCCTTTGCTTACGCGCTATGTCACAGAGCGTGAACATGTGGAAAATAATAATAATAATATGTAAAATCAAATCCATCACACCACTTGATTTGATTATGTAAGAATAGTTTTGGTAAATAAATAAATATTATCCTATTTATTTAATTTAATGACAAAAAAATTGAATATATATATATATATATATATATATTCAATAGACTTTAATTCAAATTTCATTAATTTTGGGAAAATGCGTAAAATATTATTTAGATGAAAAATCTAAAAATTATGTAGAATTCATCTTCGCCATATTAGTCATTATCTCAAGTTTCAACTAATTAAAATTACGTATATTTTTTTTCTTTATAACATCATTTTTATAAATATTTTTCACTCATATTTGCATATGATTTTTTATAAGTTGATACTTAAAAGTTATTGTTATAATATCCGAATGATTATCGGTAAACAAATAAACACGATAAAAAATAATACAAGATTTACATGAAAAATTCAAAAGAAAAAAACTACGGATATAAAAGAAGAATTTTACTAATATGAAAGAAGAAAATATAAAATGATATTGGTGAAAGAAAAATTTCATATCTAACTCTTACCTTTAGTATCTATTTATAGAAATGAATACTTGATTACAAAAGAAACTAAATAAATTAAAAAGTCACTTTAATAAAGTTCTCTATTTTAATAAATTTTTCTATCAAACTATGTTTATTAATTTTCCAATTAAATTGTGTAACCTTAAATTTGAGTCAAACTTTAACAAATCTCTACACTGACATAAATTTTGAAAGTGCGAATGATTCGAGACAAAACACTCAAATTCGAGGAGGCACCCAAACTCAACAAAACCAATTTTTCACTTCAACAAACAAGATATCTACCTCTTCCACAACACCCCTCAAAGGGGTAATCTTTAGTAAAGGACATCGATCGAATTCAAACTTTTTCTAAGCTTGGATTTAGTCTTCACATCGACTTAATTATCATAAGTACGAGATTTGCTCACAAATATATCGTCGCGAGCAATATCATGCACAAAATGATCTCGATCATCAATGATAGTTCTATCTTCAAAATCATCATGTCTATGAAATTGAACTATTTTTTACTTCACATAATCATTTTGCTCACAGCTATCTTGTTAAACAAAAAATCTTATTTTACTTAATTTAGTCAAAATATTTTTACCAATAACAACATTATTTGACAATGATAAGGAAACACTAGTTGCATTATCTAAAACTGTTGAACATTGTAGAACATAAAACTCGACAGTCTTTCTCTACCCTTTCATCACAATAAGAGTGTCTTTGTAAATTTTCATGGATCCACATTCATTAGAGAATTTGTACCCATTTAAATCTAAGGTGCCTAATAAAATTAGATTTCTACTCAAACTTGGAACATGTCTCACATCATCAAGTATTTAAACAAACCTATCGAACATCTTAATATTGAGTGTGTCAATACCTGCAACTTTAGAAAGAACATTATTTTCTAAAAGTAAATCGCACGTGGATACAAATTTATACATCGCAAACCAATCACGATTGAGACTCATTTGAAAACTTCTACCAGAGTCAAATATCTACTTATCACTAGTTATAAAATTGTTGCCAACCACAGTTAGGAGTTCTCCATAATCATACTCTTTTGGTAGATTAACCTCACCATATTTTTCAGAGTTTTGTTCTTCAATTTCTCTTTTGATTTTATTATGTAACTTATAACACTCTGCTTTAACACGTAATTTTCTTTTACAAAAGTGACAAGTTTTTCCTCGATTGAATGATTTTGATTTAACCCTTCCTATACTACTGGAAGAACACTCATATTTTCTTCCACGATATGAGTTAATCGATCCATGCACCACGAGACCCTCTGCCTAGGCTCGAAAATAGATACAAGATGTTTCATCTGGTCAAACGAGTGTAGGTAATTGTATAGTTCTTCAAGAGTGAGTGTTTCGAGACTGGGTAGGATTGTGTCTCTGAAAAATGAGTAGGAATAAAATGACGAACATACGAGGATCAATCCTAAGTCTTCTTGGTCATGATTTACTTCTAAGGTTTCTAAATCAAAGATAGTTTTCTTGAATGTGGTCAGGTATTATTTAAGAGACGAACATTCCACCAATTTGAGAAAATAATGACATTGTCTTAAGTGCAACTTGTTTGTCATAATTTCTGCATACATAGTTGTCCTAATTTTGCCCACAAAGGAGCAAATGTTTTTTCAACATATTCTACAAGATTTGATTTGATAAGTGTAAACAAATCTAAGATATGGTCTTATGATCCTTACATTTTTCTTCGTTCGTCCAATATGATGATATCTTCTTATTAAACCCTTTCAATGCATCATTTATTTCCAACTATATAAGGACATCCCGAATCTTCACCTGTCAAAGCGTGACCTGGTTTTTTTATTTAAAAATGAAATAACATACTTCATTATTACCATAATCTTGAACTCGAATATCTGATAAAAATTTATTATAATATCAAAACAATTATCTGTAAACTAATAAGAACGACCAAAAATTAAAAACAGAGAATACCAAGATTTATATAAAAAAAACAAACATATAATAAGAATTTTGCTAATATGATTCTAAAAAATCAATGAAATGTATTTTTTAAATTAAAATAGGTGTTTAATTTTTAAAAATATAATATGTTGATGTAAAACGAGTGAGGTGGTGCTTTACAGTGATTCAGGTGATAGAAAATGAGATGGTTAAGCTAGCAATTTATGGTTTACCCTTTCTGATATGGATAGAAGGCTATTGGACGACTATCTTGTTGAAATACAGGGTAGGATCTCACCTCTCTTGTCGTATTTAGATACTTTATTTGGTCTGATTATTTGATGATCATGTGATTATTCCATAGTTAGATTGGATATAGAACTGTATAAGTTGGTCTTAATCATCTCTCATAAAATTATGAGGGATTCATAATAATCTCTCATATAGTTATAACGAGATCATAAAAATTAATATAGTTTCTCTATTTTGGGTTAAGTGCTCTGATCAATTAACATTTTACATTTTTACAGATAAATATATCTTAATTTAAAGTTATACATGGGTGTTCTTAGCATTAATATAGTGACAACATATTTTCATTCATATTTGAAGCTCAAACAAAGATCTTTGAGTGAATAGATATATGGTACCATAATCAATGATTATTCTTTAAAGAGATATTGTAACTCTCAATACTTCAACTTTGATTTCATATTTTCTATTGTTTGAATTTTAATTTATATCTAGAGTGATATATGACCATGCCTCTAATAAATCATCCCACTTAAAGTCCTCTTTTATAACTTAAGGAGGCAATCACCATCTTTCATAAAATTACAAAGGATTTACAGTCATCTTCTATGAAATTGTAGATGAGTTACAAGAATTAATATAATTTTCTTATTCATGGGTCAAATAATTCTATCAAGCATCTTCTTATGTTGTACGTACATAAGTGTCTTATCTAGGAGCATATATGGATATTTTTAGCATCAATATGGTGGTGGAAGATTCATTGACATCTTCATAGATTAAATAGAAGTCCTTGAATAGATGCATCTATAAAATTAGATCAATAATTTGTTTTTAAAAATATGCATCTATAAAATTTTAAATATTCAATTCCTTAAATTTCTTTGGTTGATCGTGATAATCAACCATTTATTCGACTATAGTAGATGGCTTTTTTTCTATTTAGTCAATTGTTTAGTCGATTTTAATGTTTGACCTTTTGGCCATGGAAAAGTTTGAATCATACAGGGGAGAAGA